TAGGGGGGTAAAAAAAAGCCAGGTTATAAAGGAAGCATCCGGTGACTTCTATGAAACCGTCGTGGACCACACCTTCTTCTTTGAGCCCGTCTCCTGCGAGGTCACCAATGCGCTGGGCAGCACAAACATCAGCAGGACTGTGGATGTCTACTGTAAGTAATCCGTCAGCTTGAGACTGGCTTCCCAGGGCCAGCAGGGCTCCTGAAAATTAACGGGAAGGGGACACGGCAAGGTCTGACTTGCCCAGGGTGAGCAGGACTTGCTGGGCTCTCTTGCAGCTCAGACTTTGTAGATGCTCGGTGGTGGGACCCATGGTTTCCTCCTGCCTTATGAGCACACAGCTCATGGCGATGGTCCTCGGGGAGCTGGTCGTGGAGCTGGTCATTCTGGGGTTGCAGCAGGCACCTGTCTCAGGCTCTTCTTTATTTGGGGGTCTTACATGACTGTGACCCATAGGCCCATCAAGACCTACCACTGCTTCCTCTGACACAGTGGCCTCTTTGCTTTGAGGGTTTCTGGTTGGTGCAGCCAATCACTGGGAGTAACTCCCGTCTCTTCTGTGCAGTTGGGCCCAGGATGGCGACAGAACCACAGTCCCTCCTCGTTGACCTGGGCTCGGATGCGGTCTTCAACTGTGCCTGGACTGGGAACCCATCTCTCACCATCGTCTGGATGAAGCGAGGCTCGGGCGTGGTAAGAATCGCCACCGGGGCAGTGGGGAATGGCACCTTCAGAGCATGAGGTGCTGCGTGACGCTCCCCATGGAGCAAAGCCCATACCTATGGGCTGGGAGCTCCTGGCTGGACAAATGCTGGACCTTCAAGGCTCCTCCAAATGCAGGGGACAAGGCGGCATTGCAGAGCAGTGGCTCCCAGGCTGCAGATCTGCGAGGCTGCAGTCAGTGTCCCCAGCTAGTCCAGAGAAGTGCGTTAAGCAGTAAAGGTTTTATTGCCTTTGTGATATTTTGGATGAAAGCGTGCATGAATCCACAAGGCTTTTGGATGGCAGGCTGGAAAGTCGGGCCTGGAGTCCCGTTTGGGAGAGGCAAAGGGAAAACCAGAAAGCTGAAAATCAGCGCCGTCACTGCCGCAGAGGAATTGATGGTGGCGGGTTGTCTGACCCTGCCCCGTGGAGTCCTAGCAGAGCCACCTTCCAGAGCACACGCAGCTCTTGCCCGCAGGAGATGTTTGCAAAGGAGTCATAGAATCATAGAATCGTTTAGGTTGGAAAAGACCTTGAAGATCATCCAGTCCAACCATTAACCTACACTACCAAGTCCACACTAAACCAGTCGAGGGTAGACCAGACTGAACCATGTCCCCAAGTGCCACCTCTGCCCGTTTTTTGAACGCCTCCAGGGATGGGGACTCCCCCACCTCTCTGGGCAGCCTGTTCCAATGCTTGACCACCCTTTCCGTAAAGAAATTTTTCCTACTATCCAACCTAAACCTCCCCTGGCACAGCTTGAGCCCATTTCCTCTCGTCCTATCGCTAACTACTTGGGAGAAGAGACCAACACCCCCTCCCTGCCCCCTCCTGTCAGGAGCTGCAGAGCGATGAGGTCTCCC